GTTTTTTTTGGGTCGGGTGCGTGGGTTGTGTTGCGAAATGAGGTTGGGGTTTTTAGCGTGAGGTGGGAATCAAATTTGTATTTGAGGTTTTTGGACAAGGTGTATGAATGAATGAATAAATCTATCTATCTCTATCTATCTCTCTATCTATCTTTTTATGTCAATCAATAAATCTGTCATCAATAAATCAACCAACCCACTAACCAACCCACTAACCAACCAACTAATCAACCAACTAACCAACAAACCAACCAACCAACCATCATACTAACCAACCAACCATCCAACCAACCAACCAACCAACCACCAATCTAACCAGCCTACCAACCAACCAACCAACCAACTAACTAACCAGCCAGCCAACCTTTTAACCAGCCTACCAACCAACCAACCAACCAACTAACTAACCAGCCAGCCAACCATCTAACCAACCAACAAACTAAGCAACCAACCAACCAACCAACCATCCAAACAACCAACCAACCAACCACACCAACCAACCCACCAACCAACCAACCAACCTACCAACCCACCAACCAACCTACCAACCAACCAACCTACCAACCAACCAACCAAGCGTACAGTGCCTTCCATTCCAGCCCACCTCACAGACGCAACTTCCATTGCGGCATCTCCCGTGCTGCTGACACTTATCCGAACATTCCATCACATCGCATCTATTTCCTGTTCATTATTGTTATTATTTTTTCTATTATTATTATTATTGTGGACGTTATTATTGAAAATATAAATATAATTATTATTATTGTTATTATTTTTATTATTATTATTATTATTATTATTATTTTTATAGAATGATTAAAATTATTATTATCATAAGTATTATTATTATTATTGTTACGAATTATAACTCTTATATAATTATACTACTACTACTACTACTACTACTAATACTACTACTACTACTACTACTACTACTACTACTACTACTACTACTACTAGTAGTAGTAGTAGTAGTAGTAGTAGTAGTTAAAATAATAACAATAATAGTAGTGACAGTAGTAGTAGTAATAATAATAATAACAACAAGCTGACCTGACCAGGCATTGTGACACAAACATCTTCCGTCTTCACACCAGCCGTGCAAACACTCATTTGCACACGTGACTGTGGTGATGATGATGATGACGATGATGATGGTGAAAGTGATTATGATGGTGATAGTAATGATAGTGACGATGATGATGATGATGGTGATGACCATGATGATGGTGATAGTAATGATAGTGATGATGATGATGATGATGATGGTGATGAAGATGGTAATAATGATAGTGATGATAATGGTGATGATGGTGATGACCATGATGATGGTGATAGTAATGATGGTGACGATGATGATGATGGTGATAGTAATGAAGATGGTAGTGAGGGTGATGATAATTGGAGAGATGATGGCAATGATAAAAATGATAATGACGACGATGTTGATGATGATGACAACTATCATCACAATTGCAATCTTCACTTTTTTTTACCACCAGTATCATCATCATCATCATCGTCATCCTCTTTCTCCTCCTCCTCCTCTTCATCATCATCATCATTGTCATCATCCTCGTTATCATCATCATCATCATCATCATCATCATCATCATCATCATCATCATCGTCGTCATCATCGTCATCATCATCGTCGTCACCATTATCACCATCCTGCAGAGTCCAAAACATTGCGTTGACCTCACAAATGACATCATAATGACGTCATTACGTTGGAGGCGCGTTTAAATAATGAAATATCGATAATGTTGTTAAATGCCTCTGACCGTGTCCCGATAATTCTTTGGACACCGACCGGCGAGACTAGATTTTTTTATATCTATGGTATCTTTTTTTGTATCTATGGTATTATTTATTTTCGTATCTATGATGTTGATGATGATGTTGATGGTGATGCTGATAGTGAAGATGATGGTGAAGATGATGGTGAAGATGATGGTGATGATGATGGTGATGATGATGGTGAAGATGATGATGATGATAGTGAAGAAGATGATGATGATAGTGAAGAAGATGATGATGATGGTGAAGATGATTGTGATGATGATATTGATGATGATGGTAAAGATGATTTTGATGATGATGTTGAAGATGATGACGATGATGACGTTTCAAAATGTTGAATACACAAAATGAATCAAAGCAATAAACGCTGTGTTAATGTCACAGTTAATGCCTTATAGCACAAGGGCTTGAAACAAATTTTCAAATTTTTCTGAACGCCACAAATGATTCAATCAGACAATGCACTATTCTTTTTGCAGGTAACGAAGTTGACGTTATTGTTGTAATCACAACATTCATGTTACCAATGTTTGGCAGATGTTACAAATTCATCTTATTGTCGTCATCATCTTTAATAGCATCAACAGAAATGTCATCAATAAAAACAACACCAACATCAGCTTCGACCTAATGAGCAGTTTTAGAAACATAGAAGTGGTTTTAGCAACGGATAAACAACATCAACTACAAAAACATCAACAAAACAAACAACAAAGACAACGAAACCAACAATAAAAACAACGAAATAATCAACAAAAACATCAATAAAACAACAACAAAGACAACAAAACAAACAGATTCGACGACAACAAAGAACATAAACAACAGACAAAGACAACATAGACAACAAAGACAGCAGATCTCTATAATTGCACAATTATTGAC